CCCCCAGCCCCGGCCCCAGCGCATCCCGCTCAGCCCTCCAGTCCCCAGCCCACCACACTCAGCTGCCCCAGTCCACCACGTTCAGCCCCCACCCCAACTATCCTCACATTGCACCCCTGCATCTATCCCAGCATCTGCCACAGACCTCCCAGTCCTGCAACATCCACCTCAATCTCCCTCCCCGCCAGCCCATCACATACAGCCTCTGCAGCACCTGCCCTAACTCATCTCACACACACACACACACACACACACACACACACACACACACACACAATCATGCACAACCCCCTCCCTGCAGCACCTGCCTCAATCCGCCACACTCAGCTCTCTTCCCAACATCCACCAAACCCAGCACGCTGCTCCTCCACAGCACCTGTTCCTGTATCCACCCCAACCCACCACACACAATGCACACAGCACCTAGCTGCCTCACCATACACAGCCACCCTAACACCTGGCTCGAACCACCATACTGCTCCCTTACCTCACCCCATCCTTTGATTTGTAAGGCCACCACACACAGCTCCGCACATGCTGCCAACTTTGCCTATGGTGGGGTAGGGATGGGCCTGAAGGCATACAGGATGCTGCATGACCCATTTCCCCCAAATGTTACATATGCATCAATTATTGCAGCAATGCAGGAACATCTCTCGCCTACCTCACTGATGACAGCAGAATGATATTGGTTACTTCGGCAACACCAGGGAAGTGGAAAGTGAGTAGCACAGTTTATGACAGCTCCATGGAAGTTGTCAGAGTACTGACAGCTTGAAAAAAAATTAAGTGATGTCCTGTCTGACCAATTTGTCTCTGGATTATGAAATGACCAGTATAAGTACTTACATTCAAAAAGGCTAAATTGGCTATTGCTATGGAAACCAGGAAAAGGAGTCTGATAATCAGTGTGCACTAAGAAGTTCACTTCCTGAATTGGGAATGAAAGGAATTTCCATGTGGCCACTATACATAAATTACACATACTGACGAGAATTGCAGGCCACACCAGGTCATTGGCAAAAAGTGCCAGAAGAAAGGATACATCACTGTGACCTGTTGCACAGTTCAGTGAACACCAGCACAAAATAACTACACATCCAAGAATACACCTATGAAGACTGAGCCTAGGAAAGACTGAACCTATGAAATCAGGAATTCATAATGTGAAGATAAGAACTCTAGTGATAATGACCAAGACCCTACTACTGCATGTGTTACCAGGAGTCAGAAAGGGAATCTGGGTCACACCCTTGGTGAAGAGAATTCCTACAAGAATGGAGCTTGATATTGGAGCTGCCATCTCACTGAATTTCCATATACACCTATTACCAGACATTGGGTTCCTTTGGGAGAAATTTCCATAGTTTTGAAGACTTACCATCTTGGAACTAACTTTTGTAAGGGATACTCCAGGTAAAAGTTCAACTTAATGGACAATAAGAGGTTTAACCCTTGTATGAATTTGAAGAAAAGTGTCCACTATTTTGTGACAGATTTTGGCTTAAATTGAACAGAGATCAAGGTGAAGATGATCAAAAAAGCACCATGGAATTAAAAAAAAAATACTAGAGAAGCAGGCATTTCAAAGATTTGAAAAAGAATTTGGGACAAATAAGTAATGTATCTTTAACAAGCAAAGAAGATGACATCAGATTAAGTTTTTTTGCATGTTGATGCTTTGCTACCATTGCAGTTGGTTTGTGTGTGGATACAGTTTGTGTGTGGATACATGGAGTGGATACAGTTCTTCTTCAAGTGATCATTCACATGCATTTCAATAGGCATGTGCACACTGCATTCATGATGATTGGAAGGCTTTTTTTTCTATAGTGGTACCCAGCGGGCTAGCTGCGGAGCCCCCTAAAATGGTACTTGTAAAGCTGGCCCTCTATCAACAAAAATGATTAGGGGTTTGGAACGGGCTCCGTATGAAGAAAGAATAAAAAGACTTGGACTTTTCAGCTTAGAAAAGAGGAGACTAAGAGGAGGATATGATAGAGGTCTATAAAATCATGACTGGTGTGGAAAAAGTGAATAGGGAAAAGTTATTACAGTAAACTTCCGATAATACGGCACCTTTAGGACCCAAGGGGTGCCGGATTATCAAATATGCCGGACTATTAGAAGGGGGGGCTATGAGGGGACTGGGGTAGGGTGGGGGAGGCGCCAAAGAGGAGACTAAGAGGAGGATATGATAGAGGTCTATAAAATCATGACTGGTGTGGAAAAAGTGAATAGGGAAAAGTTATTACAGTAAACTTCCGATAATACGGCACCTTTAGGACCCAAGGGGTGCCGGATTATCAAATATGCCGGACTATTAGAAGGGGGGGCTATGAGGGGACTGGGGTAGGGTGGGGGAGGCGCCACCTCAGACCCCTCCTAGCCCCCCTTCCAATAGTCTGTCTTTGCCCACAGCGCCTC